GCTGCCCCCCGCGCCCGGCCGGCCCCGCCGCCGCTCCCGCACGGGCTGCCAGGCGGCCCGTTGCGGCCCCCAAGGTGCTGGGACGACCCACAGCCCCGCGGCGGGGGCCCGAGGGGCTCGCGGGGGCCCCGGGGCTCGCGGGAGCCGGGGGCAGCTCCGCTCCGCTGCTGCTCAGCTCCCAGGTCCACGTAGGGCAGCACTGCCCGCGCAGGCAGGGAGCTCCGGGCAGCGCCTGGGCCGGGCCCTGGGCGCTTTCTGCAACCCTGGCCCGTTCTGCAACCCTGGCACGTTCTGCCCATCCTTTCCCCCGTTTGAAAGTGTGAGCAGGGGCTGCCAGCTGGGAGGAATGAGGGGTCCTGGCTGTGGCGCTGACAGGAGCCCGCCAGGCCCAGCTTGTCAGGGAGATTCCCTGACCCCAGGGCCATCTGGGCAGGCTGGGGGAGCCTAGGGGCTGAGCACGGGCAGCCTCAGCCCCCAGCCCTGCTCAGCTCCCAGCCCCTGGCTCCTGGGGCTGCGGAGGGAGCGCTGGAGCTGCTGGGAAGCTGCAGCTCGGAGTCTCCCGCCGAGGGCACCCAGGGCTGCGGCTCCGGGAGGGCACGAGCAGGCGCTGAGCCTCGGTGACCGGGAGGAGCTGCCACCAGGTGGCATCAAGAGGCCGGAGCTCTTGGGCGAGGAGGAGGAGGAAGGTGCTGGGCACACAGCTCAGCACCGCGCTCAGGGTGCAGGGACTGGGCACAAACCTGCAGCTCCGCCTGTCCCTGCAGCTCCGGGCACAGGTAGGGACCAGGGAGCGCTCTGGGACCATCCGGGTGCACGGCCCCCCCCTGGCCGTGGCTGCTCCGGGCGCGGAAGGCAGCTGTTGTTTTGCTCATCCCCACTGCTGGCAAGGGGACGAGCAGGAAGCCAGGCCACGGCCTTGGTGTGCTGAGGCTCGGTCAGGGATGGTGGAGCTGCCGCAGCCCCGGTCCTGCCCACGCAGCCTCCTGCGACCCTGCCCTGGCCCAGGCTGCTGCACCCGGCTGGCCTCGGGCCCCGCTTTCCTCCACAGCAACAGCCCAAGGACAGAGCAGGGGATGAAGCTGATGGCAAGTGGGAGCCGCTGTGACCTGGTTCCTGCACCCCACTGAGCACAGCCAGGACATAGGGCTATGTCACAGCGCCCTTGCCTTCCCCCACTGCATGTCTCAAGAAAAATAGCCCTTTGGATGTAAAAACACCCAAGGAGCAGTGGGAGTTTTCCCCCTCTGGGCTCTACTGCAGGTCTTCTTTCCCAACGGGTGCAGGGAGAAGGTGGAGGGCAGCCCCGGATGACAAGGACATGTCCCCTCATAGCCTTCCAGGACCCGTCCCCAGGAAGCACCAGAGGAGCAGCCCTGCAGGAGCAGGAAGGCTCCACAAAGCAGATGGGAAGCAGGAAAGTTCGGAAGTAACTTTGCAAGGAGAGTTTCCGTGTTCCAGCATGATCCCGGCCTGGCGCCGGCTCCGCTGCCACATTGCTCGCACCGGGAGCAGCTGCCGGAGCTAGCACTGACGTGGAGAACCTTTCCCTGTGCCATCTGTTCCTGCGCTTGCAGCAGGGCTGCAGAAGACGGCAACTAGGTCGCACCCGAGTAAATCACTTTTTCTAACCTCCCCTCTTGCAGCTCCATCCAGCCTCGGCTCCATCCATCGGCGCCGCTCACTTTGCAACCCGCGTGTTTATCCCTCGGAGCTCATTAAAATGAGCTCAGCGCTGCGGCAGGGATTAGACACCACTGATGCTCCTTAATGGACAAACATCTTAATTACTGGGAGCTTTTACCTGCTGCCCCAGCAGAGAGGCCTGGGGAGTCGACGCTAACGCCCAGCACGAGGATGAGGAGGAGGCTCAATGGACCCTGGCTCAGCCAGGACCACTGCTCTGCACCGGGCTCTGCGCCGGGCAGCCCAGCTGGCACCAGTCCATTCACCGGAGCAGTGCCCAGGGAGCTTGTTCTGCACAAGGATCGAGTCTTCTCCGTGTCAGGTCCCAAGGGTGATGCCACCTTTGCCCAGGGCGCTCACCCCGTCCCCAGCCTTGCTGAGCCCCGAAGGGACCGGGGGACCTTGCCGGGGCCGCAGAAGAACAGGCTCAGTGCAACGCGGCGCTGGGGGGTTATTTTATTCTTTGCTTTGGTCTATACAAAAACAACTTACAGAAATAATAAAATCTTCCATTCCTGAACTACGCTCCGGTAATGTCCATCCCTTTCCAGCCGAAGCGTTAAGCCACCATCAGCTCTACAGCCTCTTATAAATGCATTAGATAAGGGAAGAGGGCAGGGAAACACACCACTCACCAAAGAGAAGGGAAACAGGTTAAAATGTGCAACAAAGATCAGTACAAGGACACGGTTCCTAAAGCTGGAGTCACTCCGCTAGCGGTACAGTTAGGACAGGTAGTTACAGAAAGTCAGCTCCCCAAGGGCTGATCGGAAAAATATCAAACCCAGACATCCCGCTGGCTAAAATGAAGGTCCTGGATATAGCACCGTTTGTTATCCGCAAACTCCCAAGTGATCTGATTAAGTTAAAGTTCACAGAAAACAAAGGCTTTTTTCCCCCAAGTTAGATTCCTCGTCTAGGACACTAACACACAGAACAGAGTGGGGAAGTTAAAAAGCACAAACTTAAAGTTGGCCAGAGCCATTGGCACCATATTAAAAATAAAAAAGAAATATATATTCATAGAAAAGACTATTTTGCCCATGAAAGGTCAATAGTGATGCAGGATTTGTGTGTTTTAAAGCTTCAGAAACAGTATCTTGGATGCTGGATGCAGCAGTAGGTGCTTGAAGCAGTCCCAGGAGGAAGGACCCTCTCCACAGACCCACAGCGAAGAACAAACAAAACCAAAAACAAAACAAAAATCGACAGATAAAACCTCTCGTGGGAATGGAAAGTCTGTCATCGCAGGCACTTCTGTCTCCCGAGCCCTTCTTGCAAGCGCTGAGCTCTGGGGCCACCCTCTTCCGAACAGAGCAAATACCTGCAGGGCAGCAGGGAGAGGCCCCGTCACCCAAGCGAGGCCCTCGGGGACCCCCAGGCCCCCGGCCCGCTGCGCCAGGGGGTGGGATGAGCCCCCCTACAAACCTGATGTGGGGCCCGAGAGGCGGGTTAGGCGAGCATGTGGTCGGTGAAGGGCGCCCGCACGCCGTCGCTGTAGGCGTCCATGGGGTAGTCGCCGTCCATGTCCATGTGCATGTCCATGGTGTCCAGAGGGATGTCACCCGAGTACATGGGGCGGTAGCCGGGGTCCAGCTCTGCTGGGGGGAGAAGGGACACGGAGCAAACTCAGTGCGTGCCGCAGAGACACTGCCAGCACCAGCCACCTCGTGTGTCCCCCCTCGCCGTCCCCCTGCCGCGGGGACTGCAGAGGAGCCCCCGCCGTTGTGGCAACAACGGGCTGAGCGTCCCGAGGCAGGTCTGGCCGCCACCACCCCGGCAGCTGCCCCAGATGACTTGCCGAGAGCCCTTAAAATGAGCCCAGCGTTGGTGAGAAGGTGCAGAGCGCAGGCGCGGGGAGCGAGCGGGAAGAGCTCACGCGATACTCACCGTCCGAGTAGGGCTCGTTGATGGGGATCATGCTCTGAGCCTGCAAAGGAAGGCGACCCTTTGAGAGGGCGATGCGGGCACACGGTGCAGGTGCACGAAG